ATGTCCAGCTTTGGGAGGCCGAGGCAGGCAGATCCCTTGAGGTCAGGAGTTTGGGACCGAGCCTGGCCAGCATGACAAAACTCCCATCTCATATCAAAAATACAAAAATTAGCCAGGTGTGGTGGTGGGCACCTGTAATCCCAGCGTGTTTGGGAGGGCAGAAGGTGTTGCAGTGAGCCAAGATCACTGCATTGCACTCCAGCCTGGGCAGCAGAGCGAGACTCCATCTCAAAAAAAGACCAAAAAGAATACATTAGTGAACTAGACAATCAGCACCCTTTCTGCCTCTCCAGAAGAGACAAGAAAGCTCCTTTATGCCCTTGAGCTGTGTGACCTTGGGCAGTTCGCTTGATCGGTGTGAGCCTTACCCTTCTTCTGGTATCTAAGGATAATGTGTGAAACTTGTAGAGTGTTAAAACTGAGTCGCTCATATGACCACCCGTGCAACAGTGCCTGGAACGGCCTAGGCATTCACCAACCATTAGCTGGCACGCAGAGGTTTCCCATCTTGACCTGGAATCCCTGGGAACACCTTCACGTTGTAGGGAACCACCGTATGGCACCATCAGATGCAAACTGGGGGTCTGTGATCCAGTCTGGAAATATTCAAAGGATGAAAATTCACGGATGATGGCGAGAAAGCAAATATAAACCTCTTAATGTGATTCTCTGCTTAATTTATTTCCAACTTTGTCTTAAGTGATGTTTCTCACCGATAGCTATGAAATGGAAAATAGCTAACGAGAGTTAAAATTCCCGGCGAAAGCTCCGGATTTATCTACCAGCTCCCGCGGGTGATCCGAAGCAGGACGGTGGTGTGCTACTGCCCCCCTGTGCAGCCAGCAGGGCTAGCAAGGATCTGGAAACCCAGCCAACCCCAGGATTTTTATCTTATTTTTAAATTTTTTTTAGCAAGAACACTTAAGAAGGAGAAAATGGACTCTCAAAAATCCTCTTTATCCAAGATCAAATAGAATAAAACCCAATTAAGTCCGTGCAGCTGTCGGCTGTTTAACCAACTCAAACCGCATATCCTTCCCCTGTCTCCCCCTGGGCTCTTTCTCTCCCTGATGTGTATTGGACACCCGGCTCCATTTACAGGAAATGGATCCATTAACCCCAGAACTAGAAAAAAAAAAATCCCCTAATAGCATGCAGGGCTCACACATGCCCCCAAATGACAATCTTTGCTGCCAGGTGTCGTGAGGCCTCCAGGATTCTCAGGACCGTAGCAAAAAGACTCATAGACTCTGCCCAGAACAGTCTCTGGGCACAGTTGTTCTGCTGGCCTGAGTTCTGTTCTTTGCTCACAAGGCCCCTCTAAACCCCTCTGCCTCAAACTGGCTTAATGAAACTTTGAACTATTTAGGTCAAGAAATAGTCACTGAACTAGGTCTCATAACCCTGCTAGAAGCCCAAAACTTAAGAATCATATAATCTAGAGGGAGAAACTATCCAATGGGTAAACTTCCGTGGTACGGTGAGAACTGGATCAAAGGAAGCACCGGGGCTGCAGAACAGGGGAGAGGGGGCCAACCCCAATGGGAAATTGGGAAATGTCTCCTGGAAGAATGGCACCTGAGCTGAACCTTGAAAGAGGAATCCGGACAGGTGCAGTGGCTCACACCTATAATCCCAACACTTGGGGAGGCCAAGGTGGGCAGACCATTTGAGGTCAGGAGTTCGAGACCAGCCTGAGTAACATGGTAAAATCCTGTCTCTACTAAAAATATAAAAAATTAGGAAAGGAAGAAAGGAAGAAAGAAGAAGGAAAGGAAGGGCGAACGGAAGGAAGGCCAACGAGGACGGGGAGAGAGGGAAGGTAGGAAGGGAAGGGAACGGAGGCGAAGGAAGGTAGGGAAGAAAGGAAGAAGGAAAGAAGAGGAAGGAAGAAAGG